AGGTCATATTTTTGTGTGAGTGTAATTTATATTTTTAACAAATGAGCCCCAGTCTACTACATTGAACTTTGCAAGATGCAATCCAACAGCCACTAATGTCCTACAGGGTAGTTTGCTGATAGGATTGATTGACAGTAAAATGATACTAGTTATTAATTAAAAGGCATTCAATTTTAATAGACTGTGTTGGTGAAAAGACACTTACATGACAGCATGGCCCACTAACTAGAAGTCAGAAAGAAGAAAAGAAAAAGAGAAGGATCTGTCCTACCTCAATACACAACATTTGAGTGACAGCTGTGAAGGAAATTCTTTCTTCCACTAACAATTGCACAAAAACTTCATGGGTATTTCCTCCATCAGTGCTTGCCCCTTCCCACTATTTCATCCAGGGGAAGTTAAAGGAGGATGAAAAGGGACAAATTAATTGAGCACACCAAACCAGCAGCTGAGCCATTGGCCCTGTTGACACCCTTCATTGCACTGCTGTGCACACAGTGCCTTCACACAGCCAGGTCACGGGAAGGTGAGGGTTGTGCCTTCTCCTCAGCATCTTCCACACCTTTTTAGACAATGCACAGCCAAATCATATCAGTATTGACATAAAGCAACACAGGAGCACTGTACTCTGCAGCTTCCATGCCATCACAATGTAGATATGGACACCTCAAGTAATGTTATACTAACTTCACTCAACATGTGATCTGTATCTTAATTCCAGAAAGGCTAGAAAGCTTCAGGTATCCCTCTCTCCCAAATTTCCAATTTTCCTGTATATACTGAGACCTAGGAAGGTACTGGATAAATATGCTAGATGATTTGGTGGATGTTAACTTTTGAGAAATGTAAAATGATTAGTCTTAAGCTTAGATCATACAACTGTATTTGAATAAATTAATTGTCTCCCAATTTGTATTTCCTTTCTAAACATTTAAGACAGGTTAGGGTTAAAAGGAGTCAACTAAAAATCCCTTCCTAACCCTTCCACAAAATATTGCCCTGTTTTAACGATCCAAACAGAGCTACTACTCAGATTTTTAGATTTTTTTAAAGCTAAAGAATAATGTGTACTAACAGAGTAAAAGGAACAATTGGGGTCAGCAGTGCAAACCAAGAGTATGAACAACTGAAGCAGTTTGTCAATTTTTTTCTTAATTCCATTTCATGGCGACTCTTTTTTTCAAGCTTAGCACACATATTTTAAGCTTTCTAATTATGCTAAGACATCTTTTTCCTATCAGGTTTACCCATTTAGAAATTCTTTGGGTACAGAGTAAAAAACTGCATGTATGCCAAACAATATCTATGGTTATATCTGAAATGTTACATTCTTTACTAGAAGATGCTATAGAAATACAAAATATTTTTGTTGCCACTGGAACAGCTGTACAATTTTCCAAAGAAATGTTTAGCTTCAAGCTTGACTGTGTAATAGAAGTTAAAGATGAAGCTTGACTACTTTAGAATTCTAGCTAGTGAGGGCCATTTTTTGTCGCAAGCAGTCCATGTACTTCAAAACACAAAGATGTAAAAATACAGCAGCAAATTCTGACCTAATGAAGCAACATATTGAGGCACTGGCTTCTATTATGAGCTAACAAAGGCGATACCATTCTGAAAAAAGAAATTACTTGTATAGTGGTAAAGAAAACTAGTTCTTAGTGATGTTTTCGAATTTCTGGAAACACTTCTTGCTGCTTTTCTAACGAAGTACTAAAACTTCTGGATTCACATCAGAAATTACAAGTGTATGAAAAATACATATATAACAGATTTGTATCATTCGAACTGAAAACTTTATGAACACAATGCTGAATGAAGCATAATTTAGTAATTACCATACAATAGGGTATAGCAAAACAAGCATAATTTGAACTAACAACATGTAAGATGCACCTGCTGAAAAGATTTCCAGTAAGCAAGCTGAAAGCTTGATGAAAAATCAAATCAGCAGTTAATTAAAAGCAAAATCTATTTAGGCAGGAACACTGATTTTTGCCAGCTTATGCTTACAATAGGATTCATTACTGCCAAATGTGGCAGCAATAACAGACAAGTTCTAAAGAGCTCCCAAGATTTACAAAAACTGAGAGAAAAGGAAATTGTACTATTCAGTAAGCCTGAGACACAAAAACTGCCTATTTTGTAAACTCCAAAAACTGCGTTGGATTTAAGCATGACAAAAAAAAGGTCTGCTCAACAAAGGAGGAAGTTTAAGATATGCAAAAATCTATAGTCAGATATCTAAGTTCTGGTGAATAATCGGACACTTTTAGACTCAGATGATACATAGTACATATTAATGTCTATTTTTCTTTTTCACTCCTCATTATATCTTTTCAATTCAGGAACATAAAAAATATTATCAAAGTTTCAAAATTTCATAATAATCTAGCATAGAGTTAAGCATATGTACTGAAAATACAGATGCAGTTCTAGCAATACTGACTTTCTGCTACTATAATGAAGATTAAAAATTTCTAATTTTTTTCTCATCAAGAATCCAGTAACTTAAAAAACATGTTTTATTTCAACCTAAAAATAAGACAAAGTTATAAGCTGAAGCCCCTAAAACTCAAGACAATTCTTGGGTTATATGGCTGAGATATTTTTTCAATTTCAGTAACACTGATCTAGCACTTTGTACAGCTGGATTAAGGGATAGGTAGCCACCTCTAGAAGTTTCAATTACATGTTCAGACAGAATGCCTATGATTTTGTTTCACAAATCCATGAATACTCTAACCATGTTTTATCTTCTTCCCATTTTGCAATTGCATCTCTCCACCAAACCATCCACTGCTGCACTTACCTTTAGCTTTGCACAATACTGAAAAAGCTGAAATCCATTTCCTGTACCTCTCTTTCCATTGCTGATAGAACATAACACAAATTAAGCCTTCCAGGCTCATAATCAAATGGCTTAAAGACAGACTACATTTTTGAGGGGTGATGTAAGTAGAAAGTGTAGTCTTTATCATTTTCTCTATTTAAATTTTTGTTCTTACTCTGTAATAGTTCCTTCTGTGACTGTTCCCAGAGGTTCCAATTAAAACTGAATTCTTGAGGTACCAGGTGCTGTTTCCATGAATGCAGAATTCCTGTCTGAAAGAATCTACTTTATCAAGTGGCATTTCAAAAAGTACTCAAGCAATGTCCCTACCTGAAGTTGATACTAGAACTTCCATAAACCTAATGGGAGCAAAGATAGGTTAATAAAGAGCATTTCTGAAAATTTTGACTCATCACTGTCCTGTATTTAATCACTCAGAATTCACAGTTTACTGTATTGAAAGAAGAAAGCCTGCAGCATTCTTGAAAGATGTGGTGTCACTAAGGGAGATACTCTGGCCGTAATTTACATTTTTTTACTTACCAGCCTGTATTCTGACAAAAAAAAAAAAACAAAACACTAAAAAAACCTCCAAAACCCACACCACTTTACTGCATTTGTATTCTAGATGCATGGGAAGTCTGAAGCAATTATATCTTCACCATTTAAGAGAGCATTTATTTGAAGCACTTCAATATGAAGGGTTACACTAGTTCTGTATCTGGAGACTCTGAGGCATTAGTTAACACATGGTCAGAACTGAATTGGAGACAGAATGTTGTGAAGTACTTTGCAGAAGTACAATTAACTTGAAATTATTTCAGAGAAGCTCTTAAATATTTCATAGTCTGTTGCTTCTACAGGGTTTAAGTAAAGCAAGTCAGGTATTCCTTATTAGAACAAGCAGATGGTGTGAAGAGGAGGCAAAGACAGCTGAAAAGGGTAGCTAACTTCAAGCTCTTCTACAGTATTTATCAATCATTATGTGCAAGCTAAGAACTAGTCTGTGGCAAATGAAGAGTAATTTTGTGGTTGTACAGAAGAGCTTAGTGAACTTTCTGGATCTAGATGAAAAAAATGGGCAGTTACAGGCAAAGGGCTGCATGTATCTGCAGTATGCAGTTCATTCTTGCCATAGAAAACTGAACAGCTTATCTCTGTAATAACTTGTGAGCATTATTCCCACATTTAATGTAAGAAAAAACAAGGAATGTCAGTCTCCCTGCCTTATTATCTGGTTGCTTTTGCAGTTTGTCTCCTCTTTGAACAAATGTGGGTGAAAATTCAGTGAATTTATTTTGATAATAAATTTAGAAAACAAAAGCACTTGGTCAAACAATAAGGCAAACTGACATTACCCTTTGCTCCAATTCTGGGCTAATTAATCTGATTTATGTCAAACTTGACCATTTTTTCCCCAAGGGATGGGTGTCATTGTTTAGGAATGGTATTCCTAAATTTAGTGTCCCACTAAAACACCAAACCACAAGCCGCTCCTTCACTTCCCCCTCCCCTAGTGGTAGGCTAGAGAGGAGAATTGGAGGCACAAAGGTAAAGATCTCAGGCTGAGAATTTACTGGAAACAGCAATGAGATAAGAAAAAGCATAAACAGAGACAATATTAGTAACAAAAATATACCAGAGAGAGGAGAATGGTTCATATGCAAAATACTCAGAACTGCCATTACCCAACCACTCCCTCTGCCAGAATTTTTTACTGGAAGGCAACCCCTTATCTCTGGAGGAGTGTCCCTTTCTCCCCGCTCCTGGCAATGAGTTGAGGTGGTACAGAATATCCTCGTCTAACCTGCACAAAGTTACCCTGTCCTGGCAGAACCAGAACAATGGGGAAGCCAGGAAATGTAGAAGCAAAGAAGACTTCATGATCATGTATTTACAAACTCGTTAGTAGTTCAGAAAGTCTGAAAAACCTGCTAAGATAAGGAGGTTCCATTAATAAATCGTATTGCACTGTAAACACAATGTTTTATCCCTTGAGGGATTGTTGCTCTTCTCCCCCGATATATGTAAGAAGGGAATGCTTACACAAATATAAGGGTCTTTACTGCAGTGTGTGTCTCAAATTAATTACTTTTTTAAAAAGGAAGACTGGATTCTTCCATCTAGAAAAAAATGAGCAAAAAGAGTAATTTAAAGATTTACTAACCTTTTTCATTGTGTGGATTTCTTTTTTCTGAAATAAAGAAAAAGGAAATTATGGTCAAGAGAAATCATACTTTGAAATTTTCCCTCTGCTTCAACATATTGGAATAAATAACCTGCCATTTTAAATGAGAAAAAAGAGGAACTAGTTTTCACATCCCTTCTCTGCAGTGCCTCAAACAGTGAAAGACATCTTTCAACACCCTACTTGCCTAAAATCTTGCTACCTGTGGTGGTTAAATTTACAGAAACAGGAGTACATATCTTTCTATATCAGTATGTAGGTAGAAATCCAGTATAAAAATATGCTAAAAACATTTCAGTACCACCAGGGGAAAAAAAGTAAAAAATAGAAAACCACTTTTATGCTGGAATGATGACACTGAGAGGTTTTGAGTTATGACTCCAACAGAGTTTGAGTAGTTTTAATGCTACTTGTTGAAGGAACCATAGTTAAGATAAACTTGTCTTTTTCCACAGTACCTTCTACAGTACCTTTATTCTAACCACTAGCAGATCTTTAAGTTACTAAACTCTTCCAAAGACTTATGTCATTAAAATAAACAGGCTCTAAGGACCATCTTGAAAATTTAAAAACATAAGCCCTCCCACCCCCACCCTCCCAATTACACAAGGTCTCATCTTAAAATTTTACAGCAGAGAAAAATTAACTTTATCAGTGGAAATGGCATTTCAGAAAGAAATGCAGAATAGAAGCCAAGAACTCGTGTTCTCTTTAAAAAGAAACAAAATTACAAACAAACAAACTAAATACCCAAACCATAAAAAACCAAAAGAAAAGATGCTCTGCCTAATGCCTGGTCTGCTGGCTATGAAGTGTTGGGTCCTCTGCTAAACTCAGCAAATGAGGGATGGGCTGGTTTGACATCTTAGAATCAAAATTCCTGCATTGCTGAGTACACAAACACAAGTTACTTATAGTGCTAATATGAACATAACATTCCTACTGAGTCAAAGCAAAGATTTGTGACTGTGGTCAGTAGGGAAAGAGTACAAGAAATGACTTAGATTTTCTTCAATATACCATTTCCAGAGACCCATGCCTTTGGAAAACAGCCAGAGAAATACATTCTGCTGAACAACCTTTTAGTAATCTTTATTTCCAAGATGTTTGTTTAATGAAGTGATGCTGAACCCAAGATCTGAAATCTATTAATTAATTTTTTTTTTTTTTGCTTTAAAAATGCTAAATAAGCTCTAAAGTTAAAAAAAATTGCTGGACCTTTTAAAATTTTATCTGTTGCCCCAACAGTTAGAAATCATGAGCTATGACAGGACCTTAATTACAATTAAAAGTAAGCTTACAATACCAATACCAAAAAATTAATTCAGCAGGGCAAAACCAGAAGCTGCTAACAGCAAAAGGTCAAAAACAACTCCTAAGATTTTACACAATAGCAATGACCTCACAATAAGAAAATAATATGTAGTAATTAGAACAACCTACCAATGACTTACTGATGATTTATTGTTCAAGTGCTGCAGGTTAGAGGAAATGGAATGAGGTATTCCATACCAACTTTTCCTTTTAATTGTTTTATTCATTCTATATATCAGAAGTTATTACAAAATAAATCCTACAAAATTCCAAATTACAATTCAGACTTATGTGTTGTGGAAACCATATCATCCATACAAGAGCTGTCCTGCAGTGGAGCTCTGTAGTACAAGGATGTACCTAAATTCCATAAACTTCAAGAACTAGGTTTGATGGGTACATTTACAGAAGAGGTTCTTAATTAGCAAATAAAAGAAGCACTAAAGTGAGGAAAATGTGATTACGTGTACACACTGAAGGAAAAGAAATCCATGCACAAATCCTAAGGGAGACGCCAACAATGTGGTTTCAATAATCTAAAGGGAAACACAAAACCTTTTACTGCACTTACCAGCAAAGCATTTGGAACAGAGATTCATAGTCTTGCTGGACCTGGGGCAAAAAAATAAAAAAAATAGAGCTAAAAAATTCATTATATTTCTAATCAATACAGGGAAGTTTTGGGAGCAATGAAGCAAGGGTACAGAGAAGCTAAAAACTTAAATGGCTAGGAACGAAAGGTAAGTGGCTGAACTAGAAACGAGAGTATGGAAAAAGACTTTGTAGGGTAATCTCTTTCCAAGAGTTTCCAAAATATGACTTCTACACATTTACCTCATATATGAAAATAAACTTACTTCACCATTCAATGTATATGTTACGCATTCATCATTCAAATCTTTGTATTGCAATGTGATAATAATGATAGATAGAAAGCACCAATACATTCCATTTCAATAGTAGACTACCCTTGGCAACAGCTCTGAAGTCCTGACAAATCCTGAATACAATACAGCAACGGAGAGATTGAAGTATTGTACTTATAAGGACACAGACAGATGTGATCTTGGAAGTCTAGCTGGAATGTTTTAACTAGTTATTACATCAAGCTCTTCATTACTACCCTGAGCTGCATTCAGCAGTAATTTAAAAGAACATGGCTGACTTTGCACTGACATGGACTAGCATAGTTCATATCATCCACAAGGGTGGGCTCAGCTTTGAGGGCAGCAGCCTTCAGCTGAAAGAAAAACAGCAGTAGAACAGCAATATCTTAAGCCTCCCAGATGTCTACAAAGTGCATATGCAATTATGCCAGGTGTTCAAACCTCAGAAAGTCAGTAGCCTCACTAAAAAAAAAAAAAAAAAAAAAAAAAAAAAAAACACTAAAAAAAAAAAAAAAGAAAAAAAGAAAAAAAATAAGGTTATAAGATCTCTCTAGGCTCCCATGAAAAACATGAAAATATCCAAAGCAATACACTATGTTTCCCCCAGTTTACATACAAAAAGTTCTCTTCTAACATCTCACCTCCTTTACAAAGTGACCTGGAGAATATTCTCAGAAGTTCTCTACGTGTTGGTAAGAATGAACTGGTTTCTGTGCACACTGCCCATTATTCAATTTGTTCAGCATTCCTGAATCAACTTTGCCATTATTTACAGGCATTAATGCCATCCTGGGCAAGTTTGAAAGTACCTATTAACATGCAAGGTTGTACCAAAACTGTCTATGCCTATAAGACCTTCTTTCCTCCCCAGGGCAGCCTCTAGCTGGGACATATAATTTAGCCAAATTAGCTACACCTTTCTCTCTAGAAAAATACATACAAAGAAACAACTGAGACTACCAAAACAGTTGTTTTCTACCTCCAACCAAACAGGAAGGGAATTTTGAGAGGAGATCTGAGTCTAACAACATATAAATTTATAAAAAACTGCTTGTTACCTTGAGACAGAAAAGTTTGACAACTTTTTCAAAACAATTGTATCACAAATGAACACATATCAGAATTATAGATTCCCCCTACCCGAATTTGCAGATGGTTATTTTAAATGACTTTCCAGTAACAAAGTAAATCCAGACCTGATCAATCATATTTTGGTATCAGTCACACCAAAACATTACAGATGCTTTTCAATTCATGCACATCTGAAAGCTGGTTTACATCAGGCTCAAAAATTCTATAAGAACACATATCACTGGAGATTTGAGCTATAACCATTTGCCAACTACAGCAAGAGCCACAGACATAGGAAAGCGAGTTTTAAATACAAACAGTATGTGCACAGGACAAAAGTTAATTCCCAAGAAAAGAAAAGCAGAACAGCATTTGTAGCCATACAAATATATCATCAGATTGGTAGATACCCAAAGATTCAATGTGTTGATGGTCTGCACAGATTATCTACCTTTAAAAGAACTGTAATTAAAAACAGCATGGTGAGTCAACACCTACAGAATCAGTGTGCTGCAGTTCAGTACTCAGTGCTTATGGGTTAGACTTTCTGGAGCAGCTCAATATGCCAGGCAGGACCCTCTTTGCAAAGTCATTAAAGCCCAGGGGCAGCAAAGAAAAATAAAGGCAGAGTTCAGTTGGTTCATACTGATGACACTGGAATGGGCAATGACAAATGCTTTCTTTGGTATAATCAACCATCTCAGCTGTAAAATATCAATCTAAAGCCTCATATAATATCTACTTATCAGCACACCAACAATGGAAAACAGACACAAACACAACATAGAGCTCTGTGAAAAAGAGAAAAAAGGCTGCCACACACATCTAACACACAAAACCCCAATAAATTTTCTGAAAGGACTGCACTATTGGACAAGTGACCTTGTAAGCCAAGTAACAGTTACAGGTTCAAGGATCACTTTCCTTTTGATACTTGTATGCCTTTTCAAGACACGCAAGTCAGTCTGAAACTGCTACTAGGATGAGAACCTGAACCTTGAGTGATTTTTCATTGGTTTCTTTTATATAGCCACTTAAGTCAGAGCAGATACACACATCAACACTACACTAGAACTAAGAAAACAGCAAAGACAGCAACACTGATCAAAAATCAGCTTCTTTATGAAAATGCAGTATTTAATTGGCGCAAAAGTTTCATAAAGTAAATGCATTACACAGTTTATGTACACCAAATTTATCAGGTCAGTGTCTGTCAAGTAAAATGTTTGACATCCTTTTTCTGTACTGCAAATCCCTCCTCTCACTGTAAGGATCTCCTCTTTTCAGCAGGCAAGGGTTCACTCACAAGACTTAAAACTGAGCAAACCTGCATATTGCTGCTCTCTGGTGAAGCACACCTTAACCACATCACTGGTTTCATTGTTTCTCAGTGACTCCAGAATTCACCAGAAGCTCATAGTGCCATAGAACATAGCTCACAGCTCATAGAACAAAGAAATTTTGTTCCCGACAATCTCTCAAATATATCATACACATGCAAAATCTGTTATTTCTAGGGACAGTTTTATTTGAAACACTCAAAGTTCTGAAATATCAAAGCCTTAATCACAACACAGCCTTCTGTTTCCACTTCACAGGAAAATTATGGTCATGGATGACTTTTAGGGAAGGCAATACAATTCCTGTTTCTAGGAACACATAACAATATTATGGCTGCAGTGGTATATTAGGCACAGCAAAGCTGGAATTCTATGTTAGTCCTAGAAATGAGAATTGAGTGTTTTAGACTGCAAGTCTAGGATGACACCCAGCATTTCTACATCCTTCTGACACAGCTGGCTTGGGATATGCTTCTGAATCAGGTATCAAATCACCACAGTTTTTAACTGAACATATTATAGTAATTCCTAGATTTCCCTCATAAAAAGTAAGCTTCATGCTGAACAGCACCTCATCCAGAATTACTCACAGTATACATTTTATATGTACAATATCCCTAGAAAGTCATTTTTATACAGATAATTTATAATCTCCACTTGTACATAATTTAAGCTGGCATTCAGAAAGACGTTCATATTTATAGATAAATCAAGTCAAATAGAATGGCATTATCGCTGAGGCAGAATATATAGTTAAACCCTCTTTGGAGGTACTTCCATCTGTCAAAAAAAAAAACCCATTTAACTAAAGTGTAACACAAAATTATTACGGACTTGGAAAGCACAAGGTGAAACAAATTCAGAAGGTCAAGTGGCAGACTAAGTTAAACGCAGAGGGTGCTTCTAGTCCAGAGGCTACAGAATGATCGCATGTAACAGTTCTGCAGGGTTTGGTCTGAAAACAGTGAGGGTATTAAAACTGCCTCTGCCGTCCAAGGAAAAAAACCCATTCCCTTAACAACATGGCTGTGAAAACAGTAGCAATGACATAGGGACTTTGAAAGAGGAAAAAAAATTACCGAAATGGGAAACACTGGAAGTTCTAACATGTTTATACTTTAAGCAGGAAATAAATTGTGTGTAAGGGTAAAAATAAAATGCACACTTGAGGCTCTCCAAACCATCATCCTTTACTTGTGCTGTTGTGCCTACAGCTCACCACAGCAAAGGGAACTATTTGAGCAATCTGATAGACGTACACACAGACCACTGTAAGGTCCCAATCTCGGATTGATACACATCTGCATCTCCAGTGAAAGGTGCATAATACAAACTGAGAGCCAGCAACAGTCATTAAATAGCAAAATTCACATACTTCAAATCCTATGTGTGCTCATATTGTGTACCACAATTGATATGTAACTAATTAAGAAAACTGAAGAGATTGCTTCCCTGATTCCATTTTCACATGGTAATTCCACTACTTTCTTATGAAGGTGTGAACTGGCTTTATCTGCTCCAAGAAGTGCACTTGATTTTATAAACTCAATTTTATGCTCTATACTATCAATTATTCATTTTATTCACTGCCATTTTACAGTATATCACTGCAAGGTACCATCCAAATCAATGCACATTCTAATTTGTCTTCACTGGAAGTTTGGTTTTCCTTTTCCCTCTTCCAGCAAATGACTACCACTACAAAACCACATTCAGAGAATGCAAGTGAATTCTAGCCCTAAATCTCAAAGGCACAGCTGTTAGATGCACAGCAGCTGATCAGAACAAACAGAATCAAAAGCCAATCTCACTCTGAAGATTCAAGAACAAGTCACATGTGGAAATTTTGTGCAAAGAGAGTTAAAAAGAAGTGTACCAAAACTGACTGATATCAAGATACTCAGTCTCTAAAAACAAACTTCTGCCAAGAAACTTAGGCACACTTAATAAATAATGGTAACAGAATCCTCCAATTTCCAGCAGATGATCAGGTGCTTCATAACTTCTCCATCCCATCTTTAAGGCAAAAAACAAAAGGAGACCAGAAACACTAAATCTAATACTAGCTTCACTCTATACAAGTGCCAAAGGGCAATACAAAATGCTCAGTTCCACCTGTATTAGCATGCCACCTAGACTTAAGATAATGGTGAAGTAGTATTAGTACAGATGCTCACCAATGACAAGAATTGTGCAGCTGCCTCAGAGTAAAAATTCTACTACTACATGCAAGTATGTATTCTCAATGCTTGAAAAATAACACCAGAATAATCATAATTCTTGAAACTAATTTTTGTTCATATGTCTTTTGATG